ATTAATTTAGTTTTTTAATGTTTACTCAATCATTCTGCAACGGTTCAACATATCTTATTGAAATTTGGCACAGATATAAATCAAAGTCTGGTGTACACAAGGGATAAGCTTTATCCCCGAGGGATACGTAGCTTTTTGTAATTTATATAGTTTGTTTGTTTTCTAATACCACGCGTACGAAGTCGCGGGCAACAGCTCGTTATAAATAAGCAAGCTTAGGTGGATGGATGAATTGATGCATGTTTGTTAGAGTTTGTAGCCTAAACGGCTGAAGGGATCTAGACGAAATTTGGCATAGATGTAGAGGATAGTCTGGTAGAACACATGGGTTACTCACTTTTGATTTTTATAATTCCACGTGGACGGAGTCGCGGGCGAAAGCTAGTCTTACATAAAACAAGTTCAATTTTAGTAATATTGTAAACGTAAGTTTAGATGTTTGTTAGAGTTTAGTTTAGCCTAAACTATAGATTAGATCTCGATGAAATTTGCACAGATGTAAAGCGTAGTCTGGAAGAACACATAGGCTTACTCACTTTTGTTTTTTTTTTAATTCCATGCGGATGGACCTGCACGTATCGGCGACGAAATTCAAAGATATGTATGAAGTCAACCAACGCGCAGTGGGCCAGCTTAGTTGACTACGGTCTAGTCACCCCTTATTAGGGTAGGCTCGGAGCCCCTCGGTGGGGACGTATAGTGAGCTGGTGATGATGCGGATGGAGTCGCGGACGATTTCTACGAAATAATATGAAGCATTAAGAGTAAAAACAGAGAGTACTTAGTCCATTAGTAATTTAATTTATACTAAACTTATGTATTTCTGTTATATTTTATTAATTACTAATCCTAACTAAAGTATTTTCAAGCTATTTTCCTTCGTGACGTAATTAAATATAATTATTTAATATTGCAATTGCAATATATTTTTAATCGCCTACTATCAAGTGGCTGACTTAACGCATGGCTTACAATTAAGCTTCATATAAAATGTAACTTAGAGTACGTAACTTAATAAGTTACGTTAGCGTTAAGTCCTTGTTATAATTAAATTGCAGTGCTCAAGTTACCTGCAACTTAATCACTATTTTTTTTAAATTTCATACCTTAGTATTAGAGAAATTAAATCTTTATGTAAAAATGTTAGTTTGCTTCGGTAATTCCAATTATTACTCACGTTACTTATTTTATATGTATACTAATGTCCGCGACCCCTTGTGACATTAAAAAAATAAAAGGTAAGATACGTTTATGTTCTTCCAGACTATCCTCTATATTTCTACCAAATTTCATCGACATCCGTTCAGCAGTTTAGGCTACAAACCCAAACAAACTTCCATCCAATCTTTCGTATTTGAAATATTAGTAAGACTAGCTTTCGCCCACAACTACGTCCGCGTGTAATTAAATAAAAGTAAGTAGCCTATGTCTTGTTCCAGACTATCCTCTATATCTGTACCAAATTTCATCGAAATCCATTCAGCAGTTTCGGCTACAAACTCTAACAAACTTACATCCAAACTTTCGTATTTGAAATATTAGTAAGACTAGCTTTCGCCCACGACTACGTCCGCGTGTAATTAAAAAAAAAGTAGCCTATGTGTTGTTCCAGACTATCAACTATATCTCTAACAAATTTCATCGAAATCCATTCAGCAGTTTAGGCTACAAACCCTAACAAACTTACATCCAAACTTTCGTATTTAAAATATTA